GCCAAAATAGATTCCAAAATTAACGAAATTAAGACTAAATTTGCACAAAAATGTAATCTATCAGAACATGCTTTGATAAGCAATTTGTATATAGTGGATTAAGTGTATATTAGACTGATGCAAAATTTGAAATTTTCGCTCCACAGTGCTCAAACGGCTTTAAATCAGGTCCTGAATGGCCTCCCAAAATTTAAACTCATTTAGTGAGAAACTGACTTGGCACAAATCATTCGAAGTTTATATGGAAATTACTATTGGAAAACCAAACTTTTTGTTCATTGTCTTCTACCCATTTTCCATATTGCTTTTTCGAAAAGTTCTATATTTTTTCTTACGAGAATTTTTCTAAGCTACAACTTTGCGGAATATCGTTTTTCAGCTAAATGTCAAATTAAATAGTTATTAATTGTTTAAGAGATTGATAATCTTAAGGCATGATCAAGCAGCTGTTCTGTTAGCAACACTGTATTCTGCAGTGTGACATAGTAGCCATGATATTGGTGCTGTATTCTTCTCACCAGAAACACCAATGTTGCCTGCTGAACAGTTGAATGAGCATAATCATAAGACATCAGTGACTTGAATCATTAATAACTTTTGTTCCGTGCATTTGATTGAAAAGTTGTAGCTGAGAAAATTTGCTACAATTACTGCTATCATTTTTAAAAGCACAGTGATGTGGTGAATTGTTAGATAAATACAAACAAAAACATAAGTTTTCCTATAGTAATTCCCATATAAACTTGAAATGGTTTGTGCCAAGTCAGTTTCCTACTAAAGTAGTTCAAATTTTGGGATGCTAAGCAGGACCCAATTTGGAACCGTTTGAGCACTGTGGAGCGAAAATTTCAAATTTTGCATCAGTCTAGTGTATATAGTAGTTGTAGGTTAATTATAGTTGTAAATAGTATAAGTTGTGGCTAGCTCAGCACTATTCTTATCTCGGGCCGAATGCCCACGTACTCCAAGCAGACTCGTCGGGGGACAAAGTGGACCTATCATCAGACAAACAATCACTTTGAACAGACTTGACATGCACCTAAGGCTCGAGTTTTAGAAATTATAAGACGCAAACAAGTTCATTTAAAAAAATTTTTTATTCATGGATACATGGGTAGAAGGGGGGGGGGGAGTAATGGGAGGGGATAGAGGAAAAGGGAAACGTTGCGGCCGTTCAGCTCCGGTTGGGGCCCATGCGGTTGAGAGAGAGAGAGAGTTGCATTGTCGACATACCTTTGCTCAAGATGCTCACGGAAGGGGGAGAGGCACATCAGTACCAAACACTGGAAAGCGGGGGCGAACCCTCCGGACCTTACTAGGCTGATACCTCCATAACGTCCGATTCTCCGCTCCGCAGCCGTGAGTAGCCGACCGAAATAACTTGGAGCCTCGGCGACTACCTGCACCTGGGATGGGTATATTGTCCGGTGGTTGGGGTTCCTTCTTGGGTTCCTTGAGGGTTGATTCTTGGCGGTTCCTCGATGAACACCGGTTCCTATTTCCACAACCCACGTGGTTTGACAGCGGCGTTTCGAGGCAGCTCCTTCTCCCGGCTACGGTTTTTATTTCTTTTTTTGGCCTGATCCAGTAGTACGCCGTTCCTTCGAAATTCCCTCGACAAAACTTAACGGGATCTTCCTAATCCTGAAGCTTGGATAGGAAACGGCTTCTAACGATACCCACGGAATATGGCTGGTCCGTGATAGAAACCAGGTATCTTCGAACACTCACTCGCGAACTTTTTACGTGAACCTACGATCCGTAGTATTTCGGATTAGAATCCGTAATTATAACCGCGTGCAAGTACGGTCTCACTGTATCACCTCTATTTAAGATGGCTCCAACTATATAAAAAATTCCATAAGTTGCCACGACGAACTTATTACACGTCCGACTTCCGTGATGGTCCCGTACATTCTCCCTCATCGGTCATCTCCAATCTTCCTTCTCCTTCATCCACTCCTTTTCCAACTCTCTCTCACTTCTCTTTCTCCTCTCTTTCGCCGGTTGTCTTCCGGAAATGGGAAAACATACCCATTTCGCTCCATCAGGGATGTGAACGGTGCACGAGATTTGTGCACGGTGAGTCAGTTAGTTGTTTTTTTTTTTGGTTATATTATTTTAGTGCGGAACTTTGCCGTCTTTTTTCTCATTTACATTATAATCATTGAACAAATGACGCAAGCGCGATTTATATTGGTTCAATGGTATTTTTTTTAATTTCTTTTAAACATCATATAGCTGCATGCGACGCTTTACATATATTAAGTATGGGGCTGGGTGACTATTTATACAGGTAATAAATTTTAAGTTAAACATAAATTAACAAATGTAGTTTTAAGATATAGTAAATAAAAAAAATTATATAATGCTAAACACAGATATTTACGTATGAGTGAGCCTTTCTATAGCAATTAAATTTAATAAACTAGTCACCTATAAATTTAAATATATTTATGACAAAAGCTGTACAAAGCCAATCAGCTTCAAAGCCATTGTTCTCGGTGATTGACCGGTAACAATAGTAGTTATAAGTAGTCTCCTTTTTCAAAATTTAAAACAAACCAATCCCACCAAGGTGGTCATTCTTAAAATAGGCCTGATAGGACTAGGAACTGTAATTAATAATAATTGAAATTCAAAAGAACTAAAGTTGAAAAGACGCATCTGTGTCACTTGATAAGTTATACATGTAAACCACACAAATTCAAGAAATATCTAGATCATTTAAAGTCATGATACTGTGATAGCATGCTAGACGGTACCTATGTTTATGCCTTTTGATGCAAATTTTAAGCCTCTCCTATTAACAGAATTATGCCAAAATAAATCTTGTCGAATTCTCTTAATAGGAGGGGCTTAAAATTTACATCTAAAAGCATAAAGGTAAGTACCGTCCGGTATGCAGATCTAATTTCCGAATACCAAAATGGATGGGCAGTCTATTAAAATTTCTACAATTGTACGAAGTAAATGATAATTGAGAAATTGTTTGCGAGTTTATCGATAAAGCCATGTCGCAGCATTTGGCTACACAATACAAGCGCCGATCACGTAAGCGCGCAAAGGAAGAGTAAGCGGACAAACCTCCGAAGAACCACCGAAACAGGATCAGAACGGCTAGAGACAACCAGAGCTGGTAAATATCACGGCCGTCATGTGAGAATGAAAAAACAGGTCCTCTCACTATCACGAGACGACACTACATATCATTAGCTTTCTCGTCATTTTCCAATGATCAAGCACTCATGAGAATAATTCTATTGCGGTTTTAACATCTACATTTCTAACTGATTAAGATTTATTCAAGCAAGTAACTGTATGTAATCGATAGAGTGAATACATTATTTCGATTTTCGTAACTTTAAAAGCAATAAATGAGCTAGTAATTACGATGATCACAACACTGTCACGTTTTGTCATGACGAAAAATTCGATGATATTTTGAAGAAAATCTCTATCATCGTTTTCTCATCCGATGATAGTGACAAAAGTATCTCTGTAAATATCGCGTGAGATCTTTCATTGAAAATGACATTTGCCAGCCCTGGAGACAACATTGCTTTATCTACTGGTTGGGATGTTGGAGAAGGGTCTTCAAGAAAAGGTAGGACATTTGACTATTTTCCTTTGAAATAAAGATGTACATTGTTTGTAACGCATCTGAGGTAAGTGATAATTCACGATTATTTCTAGAAAAATACGTTTCAAAAGAATAAATTGGTAAACAGCATGAGTAAACCTGTTGTTTGCATTGCGGTAATGTTGTTTTTTAATTATATTTAAGTATAACAATTTAATATTTACTATACTTTTGCTGTGATTTGACGTAATCCTACGTCAAATCTACGATCGTGTTTTGGATACAACCTCTTACTTTTTCTTAGTGTAACATAGTTTGGTCTCCTTTTTCAATCTAACACACGAAGAAGTCAAAACAGTTTCTATTGCATGCACTCCGCAAGTTAGGCTGGAATGTATTTCCTGTGCCATCATACAAAGCTCGATGTATGCTCATAAATATCCAAACATTAAAAGAGCGTCGTGCCAAACTTGGACCCTTGAACCAAACGTCGGGCACATACAATAACCATTGCGATAACAGTGACAAATGACAAAAACCAAACTAAAGCAATATTTTAATTTTTCACGTGACTTCAGCTAGTAGTAGATTTTTTATTTTGTTCCCATTACATAGGGGAAATGGATGTAATGTCGGCCTAAGTGGCTCTTATTTGGGCCCATACATAAATTCAGCAATCGACTAAATTTTCAATAGCGTCCAAAAATATCCATTAGTACCGTCCCAATGATGCGTTCATCTAGATAAAATTGATAAATAGCAAATTTTTAGCGATGGTCCCAATCTTAGATCCATAGGCCAATACTAAAGCCATTTTCCCTATTTTAATTTATAGAACAAAGACAAAATTGTAAAAATAGCTCTTAAGGCAACTATTGTAAAACGATCTACGCTGATTGACGACAAATATATAAATAAATAAATAACCAAATAATAATAAATAAAACAATTTACTATGCCCAGGTAAGTCGTGAAAATGTCCAACTCGGTCGAGTTAGTGTTCGTCTCCTATTCAAAATTAAATTTGATGGCAGCGACAAGAATTTTCACAACAGAAGGTACTAAACAGACAGATCTTAACTTGCCCCTACATGGGTCTCCATATAAGTATATGTTTTAATATTTCTGGTAAGTATAATTGTGTTAACAAAATTTATACATAGCTAATACGCAAAAAAAAACTATTCATGGCGACTGGTTCTCAAACCAACATGTTCTCATAATTCGATTATCGAACAGCATAATTCAATTAGCATACGCATGCTCGTTGGTTCGCAGAATAATTTGCCACAACTAGTAATAAACAAATTTTCCCATTAACGTTGTATAGTTAGTTTGGTACTTATCCGAAATGGTCCCGGCTAATCACTGGCTCGCTGCTAATCACTTAGATACATCCTAAAAAAAATCAACAAACCCGAGGCATCTTGCTCGCCGTCAATCCTTGGTACGTCCTCGATTTTCGATCACAAACCTCTGGAACCACTCAACTGCAGCAAATTCCACTGTAGATATCACTTCAATATTCGTCCACGATTCTGCAGATCACTTCGCACCGAGTCCACCACCGATTTCGCAACGCACTCACGCACTAAAGTCCTGAACTTGAATACTATGCTCGATAAATCCCGAAACCTGCACCTGAAACCAACCGAACCGCTTGGTCCGACACTTGCCGTAGTAATAAGTTGGATTTCCAGCTATAGCCGTCAAATAAGCTGTCACACTTTGGCCCCGAAAGTGTCGCTGAACGGCCGAGTTTGTAGTATGGAAGGGCCCTAATCTAATTAGCCATTCCCCATCCTCGCCGTCGCCGCTTGAAGAACTCGGCTGTCTTGTGCAGTTTTCTCCACCATTTGTGCTCTACATACAATGTACAAAAGTTCGTCGCCACCAGCCCTATAGAGTACGATGGCGTGGCGCAGAAATTCCCGCTTGCACTTGTCGTAGTGACCGGGTCTGGATTTAGGTGTCCAAGGCAGAAGTCCAACAAGTCGTCGTCGGGACTTTCCCCCCATGTGACGAATGGATGGCGTAATTCGATCCCTGCTCTATTTGCGATGGGCCCTCGGTAGGTGGTAGGTTCTTAAATCTATGTATGCAATGATCAAAAGTAGGGAACCGAAATAGACAAAACCGGGGGAATGCATATATAGGCAACATTCGAATGGAGGAACAGTCGAACGAAAAGTAAATAAATTAGCATTTTTGACCTATATGAACCGGTAATTAATTAATAAATGGAGAGCAGAGCGAGGGTGCGTCGTTGCAATTGTTGACCGGACATCATCATCGTAGACAACTCGTTAGATCGTAGTCAGATGTCATATTTCTTCTGACAAGGGTGAAGATCACTTTTCATTCGTGGAAGACGACGGGGAACAGATACGTGCGAAAATTAGGTGATGTCTGTGAGTCTGTAGACTTCGTTCGATGACGGTACCAAGGACAAACTCTATTGCATGTCACAAACTTTGAAGACTCTCTACACAGAGAGATTCTTGTCTAAAGCCTTCGTCTTCTACTTCCGCTCGCTAGTTCTCGTCCTTCACATGGTCACAGGATTCCGGATAGCCCGACGGTCGCTATAAGCATGCCCCTCGCACACTCTCCAGTTCATGTTTGCCTGATGGTGTCTTTGTTGGACAGCCTAACTTTCAGCTTTGCCAGAGCTTCTAGTAGACTGTGCCCTCTTGCGTTGGTACATCTGCTTTCCCATTCTACTGTCCAAGCATTGAAGTCCGATCAGCTCTTCAGTAAATCCATCCAGCATCTGGTGGAACTGCTCCATCGTCCGTCTGGGTATATGAAGATTCCGATAATGTTGGCGATCACAAAACCTTCATATGAGCACACCACCACTTATTGAATGGGGTATCTATCCATAACTTGTATTGCCACCATCCCAGCTCTATCGGGAGGAACTCGATAGGTTCCGCAATGATTGCAACGTCACACTTTGTTTCCGTTGTTGGCTGCCACAACATATGCTGTGCTGTGATTGAAGTTTATTTGGCTTACCTCCATTACTGTTATCTTTTTTCGGTATGCTGGGCCTTTGAAGCCTCCCGTTATATTGTAGTTTCCGAAATCATTTTTTTTTTATTCAGAGGGAGAAAGCTGTACAAGTCTATGGACCTTTGAACATTGTCATACTCGTTTGGACTTGAACGACTTTCAATAGAATTTCGATGAAAATTCCAAAGCAATTTTAAGCAGAATTTAAAGGAATTCCGTTCCATCTACGCTGGAGTGCACATGACAGACGGAACGTGGAGGAGGCGAACGAACCGCGAATTGCATCAGCTGCTGGGAGATCTGCCCATAGTCCAAGCCGCAAAAATCGGGCGACTACGATGGGCTGGGCACGACGTAAGAATGTCGAATGACGAAGAGGCGCGCAGCGGGCAATTTGGATCGACAAGGTAGAAGGCGACTCGTGGATGGAGTGTATCTGGCTAATAGATCCACTAGTTAACAATGTTGCAAACATGGTGGGTATATAAATGGTGATACAGCTTTGTCACTATATAGGCGAGGAGGTCGCGGGGGGGAAAAGTGCGGTTTTAGTGCAAATTGTAAACAAACTCGGTCGCTGTCCCATACAAAAATCCAACATGGCTGAATCATGAATTTGACACATTAGAACATCTATATGTAGTCACCTTGGTTGCATACAAGTTCGATAGAATGTATAGAAACGTCATGGGGATCCGATGTGGGGTATTCGCGAAGCTAATAATATTTAAATTTATCGTTAAGTACGTAAAACGATGATTGATGAGAAAGAGTTATGTCTGTTTCTGTGCAGTATCCTGTTCGTATTTCCGATCGCCTCTCAGCACAAAATCTACCTCTGCTGCGAAGTCCTGCCGAGTTCCAATCTTTTTTAAGGTCAATCTCCAACTCCCAGAGCGCACATGCAAAACCCAGAAAACATACCACAATAAATCTGAAACTTCTTGCTTGATGTAAGCAAAAAACGGGGAGTCACAATCCCACTACCGAACGTCCTGCGGAGTCGTCACCTGCACGGCGAATGAAGACAACCCAAATTTGGGTTTAGGTCACTCATAATCGTCAAAAGTGCAGGAACTCAGCGATGAGTAAATTTGCCTCATGGTTTCCTGTGGAAATAAAAGTCAAATTATTTTCATTGATTACATTTACAGGAAAAAACTTCTGACGTGTCACTGTTGACTGTAAATAAAATAATATGCTGAAAGACATACATTTAAAACATTATACAAATTTTCATTTGGGTTACCCCTCGTTAAGATAAACAATTACATAGGTAGCCTTTTTGGCCACAGTGGTGCTTCCATCACTTGAAATTCGGTTCGCCAGCTAAGCAAAAGAGGTTGTTCATATTGTTAATATAATATATTTGCTGACGGTTTGTAACATAATTTCCAAAAGCGTACTACGACGTGGCTAAAAATTTAATGAAAAGAACATGTGATACCATCACTACTGGCCATTGTCTTGGTCTCTCATGCAAGCATACAGCATGAGATTAAACTCCCCCACATTCGTTGAGGTGCTTAAGTTAGGCCTACGGAAGGGAATTTTTGAAGACCAATTGACCAATTTGAAGCAATGAATCCTTATTTATTGTAAACTTCGATCAGCTGAACTTAATTGCAATTTTTGATAAGCTGGAGATCTTTTGATCAACCCATATGCTTTAAAATGAAGGTTAAAGCACAGACAAACAGACATAACACATTGAATATTTCTCATTGTAAAACATCGTCGCTAAAACATTACCGCCATCTGTTGAGTACACTGTGGTGGGTAGTACGTTGACCAGATGGCGGTAGTGTGTAAACGTCAAACGCAAGGGAATTGACTATGCGCACCACAGGTGGCGGTACTACCAACTGAGATACTTTTAAATTGACCGTTAAATGCTTGTTCGATGAACAACTTGTGAGTGTTATGTCTGTTTGTCTGTGGTTAAGGTTTCACCGATCGTTCAGCTGTTGAGATTTCGGTTAAACATTACCGAAAACAACAATCGTTGTTGAGTGTGTGGGGTTCTATGAAGTTTCCTGAACATGTGCGGTAGTCCCTACACTATTCCCCAATTTCGTTAAGCTTCAACGAAGTGGCCTGAAATTAATACAAAGTCTCGGAACTTTTATTCCCTGAAATTAAACAATGTATCCATAACTTCCATAGCAAATGCTCCAAACTTATTTAAAGGTCCCACTTCGAAGTTTCCTGATTTTTTGCAAAGTTGCCTGAATTTCTACGAAGCTTTCCAAACTTCTACGAAGTTCCCTGAAGTTTGAAGAAAAAAAGTTCAGTGCATTCACACAAAGTTAACTGAACTTCTACACAATCATTTACACTTCTTCGAAGTTCACTGAAGCACTTCGCTGAGCTTCTGTAAAGTAAGTTTATTAGACATTTGCTGCAGTTCTAGAAAGTTTCAAGATTCTACACAATTCGCTGATCTTCTACGATGTTTCCCGAACTACTATGAAGTTCGTCGAGCTCAAATGATGCTCCCTTTACTTCCCCGATTTTTTTTTGTATCGACTCAGTTTTAAAAAATTGAAATATTGAAACCCAGTATCGGTGAAGACATTTTGGCCATCTCATTGAAGATTTTTTACGAAATACTCCTGACAGCTCCGGCCTAGGCTTGGAAAGCATAGCATAGGAAAGCACAGTAGGCTGTCCCATTTTTCAGCAATGTTCTCAATATTTTGCTCCTCATCCATAATTCGTTTTATGTATGCTTCAATAGTATCTGTGCAGAAAATTAGCTCATTTGCTCAACACAGGACCTGGTCCAAAGCACTTTTGTGAAAAAATGGCTTTTGATTATTTTTTCTCTTTGATCACTCATAAGTCACTCAATATACTAAATAACTATCTCGAACATATTTTTCATAGAGCCGTAAGGGCTATAGAATAATTTCTCTGATGAAGATAAATGCTTAAAATGTACGAACAATATTTTAATAATTAGAATTTCTCGCCTTGCACTAACATTTACAAGCAAGTTTCCACATATTCAGTGCCAAAACCAAACAAAATATATATATATTTATAACAAAACTACCCTTACTGGTGCTTAGGGGACAATGAAATACAACTTTCGTCCTAACGGAAATTGCACGGAGATCAGCTTGCATGCAAGTTGCGCCACCGATTTTAATCATAGTACGCCTGACGAAACTTCACTCAGTGGCAAAGTGACAGCTAAATCTATTGTCTTACTGTCAAACTTACGTCAACGCAACGCAAACGGATCTAATGTGGGTGGCCCTTAACCAATGACATTTATATAAGGTCTGGGCTAACAGGCAGCTTGCTGGTGTTAGAAGCAAAAATGTTGTAAACATTGCTGAAACTCTGCGAACAGATAGATATACGTCACTGCCGACATACTGAGAACAGATAGAAATACGTCACTGCCAACAGCTGTTTCGTGTAAAAAGATAAACATTGCAATATAATACGAACACCACTAACCATTTGCACATTTCACTAACACCAATAAGCCCTTTGGCCCAGACCTTATATAAACGTCATTGGCCCTTAACAGTGTTCTTCCGTCAATGTCTCTTGAATCTCTGACATTGACGGAAGAACACTGTGACTGAGTGAAATGTTGCGGAAAGGTCACGACACCTAGCTGAATGATATTAAATTAATACATCAGTACCAACATTTCAAAGGGGCGTAATTACATTTGTAA